ATATGAAGTTAATGAAGTATTATCAGATTTTTTCTGTCAATCTTCAACTGATTGTTGAACGTCCAATTGTTAATGGCACAGAAATACTCAAGTAATAATTTGGTAGTAATTTTTTTATCATATGATTAAAATAACCAATTTATTTAAGTATTTGAAGTACACTAATGTAAGATATAGAGGTAGGTTTATCGTACTTTTTCGAATACTGATGAGATTATTTAGCACGAGAAGCTCTACTAGAGTAACAGCTGTGCATTAAATACACACACCATTAAACTAATAAAAGAATGTTAACTTGGTACACAACTATAGCAATGGATGGGAAAACTGACTGATGTAGAGCGATCACCCTTCGTCCAACATTGACAGTTTGAAACAAACACATCACTTTGTGGAACCATCTCTGTTGTACGAGGGCCATCAAACAAATCTGAAATAAAGTAAAATATTGTTACGTCAGTGTGCAAATCATTACAACTATTTATTACAAAGAAACCTACTACGTTTGGTTCAGGCATACATTATTACTGTTATACATTATTGTTATACATTACAGGTAGTTTGTTATTGTTTTGTTCATAATTTTGGTAATTAATTATAGAATTGACTAGTTGGAATCAACACCTATTTACAGGTTTTACAACTAATCATTAATTTGAACAGTTCTCTTTTATCGTCATAACAATTCGGATACTACGTCTCGGATAGCTGACTCGTGCTACGACTTCACTAGGAACATCGATTATCCTAACCTACCTTACTAAGCCATCCTTACTGACGTAGTTTTACAAATCGTTGATAGCGCCCTAAAATGAAACATTTTTGTAAATTTATTCATAAAACTTACAATTATAAGATCCATATAACATTAGTAATTTTCTGCACGTCAGTTGATGAGTTAAATGTATAAACAATATGATTGTTTACGTATCATTTAAATGTATATTGAAGTTAAAACAATAGTCTACGAAGTATTTTTTTACTTATTATTTTATAAAGAGTTTACGTTTAGTTAAGACGTGGTATTTTCTGAATCTGATCCGTTGAAGAACAATTTATTCAAAGAATAGTTTTGATATTAATAAAAACTTTTTGGAAAAAATAATATAAACCACGCCTCAGGTTACGGAGATGTACTGTTGAATCAAAGGAAAAACCCTTAAGTACAAAATTGTTTTGTCTTCTAGTTTCCATGAGACAACTCACATAATACATCTCATGACTGTTTGTCTTGAATCAAAATTAATTGGGTTTTAAGGTACAGATTTATACAAAATCGGAATCGAAATTTTTCAGCCAAAACATAATTATATTACATAAGACTTCTCATCAGATCTAGGTCAGATTTTCGGGATTTCTATTTAGGGGTTTATTTCTTGATGACTTGGCTCAAATCTGTTTTAGATAAAAATGGAACACAAACACAACCAACATTTAAAGCAAAAGCCTTAATAAATTATTGCAAAGAATCTTACTTTGAATTCAATGACTGATTTAGCTTGTAATATGATGTAAATATTCAGAGATCCAGTATACAATGTGAGTTGTTTCTGCTGAGGCTGCAGTGTGAAAGCTTTTTTTTATGATTTCTATTCACGAGAATTAGAAAGACACCTTTAAACCGAGGTTTCTTATTCATATGTTATTAGTCAAAATGTATGGTTTCTTAAACAAATTGAAATTCTTAGAAACACGTCGTATTAAAATTCATATACAATCATGATTATAAATTAAAAAAAATATATATATATAACATACTTAATAATTGCGTGAAGCTATTAAGGATGTTCTCAAAGGGCTATTCAGTGTTCTGTATATAGACCACGTCGTCTTAGAGATCTGTGGAATGTTAGAACAGAGAGACGCTTTTGCCTAGTGTAATAATAATTTTCTATAATTTACACCCATGACTAGATTGAGTAAATTGAGCTACCAAGTTGAGTAAATCTTTTAAACAACTTTAGTTTATTATGAAATAACAATTTTATCAGCATCATTTTACTCAGTGTTATTAAATTACCAGAAAGTACAAAAAAACTTTAAACGACACTTGTAATTATTATCAAATAAGCTTAAAAGTGTTAGTTATTTTACGTATTTTTGTACTTTCAGATCTATTATAACCACAAAGTTAATTTTTTTTAGACTTTACTCATGTCAATGTATTTGAAACAATAAAAGGTTAACATAAGGCATCTTTATGTGTGTAGACACATATTAAGTAATGTCGTCCATATGTAAAAGTAGTATTTTCCAACAATTCCTTTGTAAAGTATATTTTCTTACAACTTTCCATTGAGTAATCATTTCATAACTAATGTAGTAAATGTTATTAAATGTGGAATTAGAAAAAACATTAATTATTTTTGTGGAACATTCAATTCAGCAGTTTAAGGTAACAAGGAAACTTCATGGGTGTTAAGTTTGAAATGTAAAATCCTGGAATACAGGTGAGTCACCAATATGAATATGAGTCATAGGAGAGCTAGAGCTGATATTACCTGCGCCTGCGTTGATGTTTTTATTGCACTGCTCGCTGCGTCGTTACTGGGAAAATCACGCTGACATCTGCAGCTCTGCAGCACAGTTTATATGCATGTTGTTGATCATATAAACAGAGTAGATTGTTATAATCAATGTGAGTCTGATCTTACTGATCTAATAAGTCTTGCATACTTCCGTAATTAAAGATAGATTTAAAGATGGATGATATATAATGATTTTATTTCCTTTAAAAGCTCCCATAGTTCAATGGATATCAACATGTTATAATGAAAAAATGCATACATATTTTTTATCAATTGCTGATTATTTTACCCATTTTGTTGAGGGCGATTAATAAACTTTATGGATCTTAAACACCACTTAAAAGTATAGTCACTACCTTTTAAACGAGTTTATATCATAAAACGTCATGCCTCATGTAAATCTTTCTTTAACGTCAAGGATTCCCCGATAAAGTTTTAGGGGAGGTAGATAGGACAAAAGAAGCGTTCTTGGTAATGTCATTGACTGCTACAACGTAGAGTCGCGTGTCTAGCTAAATTTAGTAGCCAAATATCAAGTTATTTAGCCAGCTTTCTGGTATATGAGTTCTTTTAACTTGCCTTTAGTGTTTCCTGTTGTTTGTTATACAATCATATTATCACAAATCTCCAAGGATTTATAACTGTTGAACACAATTAATTATTGTCAACGTGTTTTCATTTCTTTGAAAAACTAAATTTGTCTTGAAATGATCTTAAAAATTGTAAATCTGAACAATATTTTTTATTGCTACTGGCTGCTATAAATTATTATAGTCATTTATAATTAAAATTATGGTTTATAATTATACTGTCATATTTTAAATTTAATGGGATAACTAAACTGTCAATAGTAAAACATTGGCAGCTCGGTAACTAAAATTATATGCTGCCACATATCTGCGTGGAGGAAAAACTAACCGGAAAGATCAAATGTCGCACAAAACCTGTTACAAAGTGGCCACTCACTAGGAAAAATTGAGGATAGTCTAGATATTTTAAAGAATTGTAAGAAAGGATATGTAATGAATGCTTAGGAAGAGTTGCATATTTATAAGGGAAAATGTAAAAATAGAAATAACCCAGTCAGCATAAAAATTGTTGAAAAACCAAAAAAATTGTTGTACAACAATTTTAAAAGAGTTTGCAACAATTTCAAAATAAGTTGTGACATAAAACAATTTTAATATAAGTTTTAAACAATTTCAAAATTGTTTTAATATAGATGGTTAGTAACTATATTAAAATTGTTTTGATATGAGTGTGCAACAATTTTAAAATTGTTTTAAAACAATTTTAATACTATTTCGAAAACACATATCAAAATTGTTTTGATATAAGTTTGCAACAGTTTTAAAATTGTTTAGAAACAATTTTAATACTATTTCGAAAACACATATCAAAATTGTTTTGATATAAGTTTGCAACAGTTTTAAAATTGTTTTGAAACAATTTTAATAATGTTTCGAAAACACGTATCACAATTGTATTGATATAAGTTTACAACAATCTTACAATTGTTTTAAACCAATTTAAATGCAGCTTCTAACAATCATTAAAATAATAATTAATGTTATAAAACCAAAATGTTCTGGATATTATATTTATGAAAGCGGCTTTCCTTTCAGTAATATAAGTTACAAAAACTACAATGGCCATTCACAGTCTTGAAATGGTCTGTTTTGTAAAAAGATTTTCGTGTTTTTTCGCCCAAATTTTAAATCTTTCGCGCATTTTTTATATTTTTCCTTATGGGACACATACTTGTAGGATAATAGCATAGACTAACCAACACAAGTAGACTTCTCATCCCATTGTAAATTTTGAAGCACGTTTTTCGTGTCTAGTTCATGTACGTGACACATGGGCGCTAGTGTCGACGAAACTTTGTTTCTATTATTTTAGGGTTAATTTCTTGATTTGTGCTTTACTGTTTGGTTATATAACTAGGGGATAAGTTATTGTTTATGATTAGATCGTATTATTTGGTTAAACGAGGTTTTAAATGGCTGTAATAACGGGAAACAAATTGTAAACAAAACACGACCTCTACAGAAAACCGTACAGAATTAACAATAAAATTGTCTTCAGCTGTTCCATAAGGATGAGAAATCTACTAAGGGAGTATGTTTTATCTATGATAATAGTCAGTGTGTCAGCAACGACAGCTCCTCGCGATTTTGATTAGAGTACAGTACAGTACAAGTACAGTACAGTAGCGGTAAAATCAAGTGAAAGAGTCATGGAGGAGGGGCAGACTGCCAAACTCAAGTTAAAGCGGAACCTGTATAAGTTTAATGGTTAATAACAACAGGTTAACAGTCGTGAAAATAAATGATTTATTATTTGTAATTGTATAAGTATACTGGATGAGTTTTAACACTCTTACAAGTATCATTTACTCTAGACTCTACCAGAGTTTCGCAGTTCACTGACTACAGCAGTCTCCAGTCTGTTGTTCTGTTGATTTGATCTTGATCACGGGCTGACGGCATCACGGCATTTTGTTTATGTTTAAAAAGTTATTAGGTGCACTAAGTTTACTGATTTTATCCTACATAGCTTCTTAAGCAGCAAACAAGGTGAGTTATAATTTACTTAGGCCTTTTCAGTCAGTGGTGATTCAGTTATTCTAAACTAACATATAGGCCTAACTTGAAATGAAATAGAGGTACTCCAATAGTTCCTGGTCTAAGTTAACCAATAACTTTGATAGGTATTTGGTAGGTAACATGATTATGGCCCATCTCTAGAATTGGCCTAGCCTATGTGAGCAAACTCTAATTAATTTCCTTTTGTTTCTCATAAATATAACAGGCTATGTTACTGAAACTGTAAGTTACTGTTGGGTTTTTAGTAAATGGTCGTTGCTAAATGATACAGTTGGATTTACAGTAACTAAAACTAAAATAACTTAGACCTAACTTACACAAGGCATCTAACATTAAGTTTATAAACTCATAGCCTAATTGAATTGAATTACTTAGGTGGCGTCCCCAACTCAAATAGAAAATGACATTGTAGGGCCTGTCGCCTAATGCGGTAAAATAATATGACTAGGTATTTAGGCTTAGGCCTAGCTAAGTTACATCAGCTAGGGATTGATTTAAGTTAAGTTAGCCTATTTTTAAACTTGTTGTGTTAAGGGCTGCAGGGGTTTTTCAACTCTATTAAGTTAAGTTTACAAATATGTTAACTTACTAGACCTTGAAACTTGGTTAACTCAAAATTTAACCCTCGAGTGTTAAGCGTCGCGTAATCGACGCACAACACACCCGCCGTGGTGTTATGCGTCGCTTTTGCGACACACAAACATCGTTTATGGCGAAGGCTCTGGGACTGACTTAATCATATTGAACTGGATCGAGATTGGCATCGTTTTCAGCAGATTCTAAGCTTTCTCCTGATGTCTGTTTCTATACGCTTTTCATTTTAGTTCCGAAAATATTTTAGCAGACAGCTGACGTGCGTATTTGTAAACAACTTGGTTAACCTCGTACCGATGACTGATGTGTTTTATTAAACGTTTCCATTGTTTTAGTGTTAAAAATAAAAAAGTAGTGATATACGTGGTGCATTATTAGAAGATTTAACCCTTTCAGTGCTATGAAACGATATATCGTTGTTTTAAAAAAACCCTAAGGGATATAGAGAGGAAGGTTATTTAAAAAAAAATAGCAAAACGGCCATTGGTGACCTGCATGTTCATAGGATACACTACCAACCACTTAGCTAAAAGATTCGCCCAATCCGATGATTTCGAGGTGTATGTCTAAACCAAGGATTATGAACACCTCACTATGCCCCAGTGGTTGTAGTATATCGCTACAAACACACAGGTCACCAATTATTTGCCACACAGGACGGGATTCGAACCCGAGCAGACGAATACCACTGGCCAAGTGACACACGCCCTAGCCTTCTCGGCTATCTGTGCTTGAAGACTGGGGAGTCAAAAACCTGTATTTAAGCTGTCGCCACCGATTGCGAACAGATGGCGCTGCAGATGGTTGTTCAATGCGTTACTAGGTAGCAGCACCAGTTAGTCACGGACTATTTAGATGCAATCTTTTAGTTTTAGTAGTAGTAAATGTGTTCCTGAGACTTTGCTGCAAACATTAGTTTCCCTAAAATGGCTATATTACGATATCCTCGTCCAACTAAATCAGGGTTAAATTCAATATTACATTGTAAACTATATGTCTTTTGATTTTATGAGATTTCGGTTTCAAATAATGCTATCAGAACATAAAAATTTATAGGAAAACCAGGAAAATTACAACAAAATTAAGTTTTATTTAATGTTTACTATAAATACCGGGATTTATCTTTCTTATACATTTTCTTATTGTGTTATTATTCAAAATTAGCCTAATTAATAAAATAGTGACAACATGACAGTTAAAATTCAACAACAGGTAATGGAATTAAAAGGCAAACAAAAAAGTCTTACAAAATATGAATTATTGGCCTAGCACTGAAAGGGTTAAGTGATTTAGAAGGGCTGGTTGATGATCCTGAAGAAGTAGGTCCGGTAGTGATATTGATGTAAATTATCGGCCAGATTCCTAGCTATGGTTAGGCTATGCATTCATAGCTAACGCTTAATGTACGAAATCTGTTTTTCACCCGTAACTTATTTATTTGCAAATTTACTTCCTTATATTATTATATTTTTGTAATTCTTATAAAATTTAAAACAAAGTGGCTATTTTAAAATATTCGTAGACTTTATAAAAAAAATATTGAGCGCAAACATACATGTTAGGCTATTCATTTATTATATAATTTTTGAGAAATGTTAACCCCAGAAAAATTGCAGATTTTTTTTTTGCAATGTTTTATTAAATGCATTTTGTTTTTAGAAGAAATGACGAAGAAGAGATGGGCCAACATTGAACAAAGCAAAATAGAGAAATCAGTTGCTTCATGGCTGGCACAGACACAATTAAAATCAAAGACTTAGAAAGGGTATGTATAGTGTGATAATTTGTATTACAAAATTCACTTAGTGAGGTTAAAAACATAGGCTAACAAAACAATGTGCTACTAGCTTTCTCTCTTCATTCCGGATGCTTCAGTTTCGATAGTATATTGAAATACTAAAGCTCAGGTGATTTTCTTTATCTCAGACAAATACTGCAACAATCATTAATACTTGACAGGGTTTTTTTATTTCACGATTCTGAATCTACCACTTGATGGATTTTCACTATTTTTGTGTCGAAAGAAAGATAATTTTGAGAACTAGGGAATGTCAAAGGCACAATTTTAGTTTAGGGTTTCAGTTTAGAAATTAAGTTTTCATTTTAAAACGTTTTTATTAGGTCACTTTCTTGTCCGCTACAAATTTTGCAACCGATTTTATACTAACTTCCCGATGAGCTAGGGACTTGAAACTTGAAACATATCTCACAAATGGAAGACAATGCAATATTATAAAATTTAATTTTCATATTTCCCTTGGGCTTCGCCCCATGGGCTTGTTTTTATTAAATCGATTTCTTGCAAATTTTGATACTTCCCGATGAGCTAGAGACTCGAAATTTGAAACATAGCTCACAAATGGATGACATTGCAATATTATATCATTTAGTTTTCATATTTCCTTTCGGGCTACGCCCTATGGGCTTGTTTTTACTAGCTTGCTTTCCTACAAATTTTGATATCAATTTTAAACGATGTTCCCGATAAGCTAGAGACTTGAAATTTGAAACATAACTCACAAATGCATGACAATGCAATATTATATCATTCAATTTTCATATTTCCCTTGGGCTACGCCCCACTGGCTTCCAAATTTTCCATGTTTACATTTTGTAAAAATGTAAACACATTAATTAATTTAAGTCAGCTGTAAATACTTAAATTTGACAGTTCGAAGAGCAGAGGTTAAGAGGTACAGGTTATGCTCCCAAGAGATTCTTTTTACAAACAAACATTTCAAAATAAAGATAAACAATCTGATTGCAGGTATCAAGGTGTTTGTAAATAATGTCAATTTTTGTTTATTTAGTATTCTATAAAGTAAACGATAAATATTTCGAGTGAATGCATTGCAGAGAAATTCCATAACAAACTATACCTAGGTAAATTATTATATATTGTGAGTTTTCGGATTAGCGATCTGTAAACATGTAATAATATCAATTATTTGTGAATATTGCATGATATTATGGTCAAGGAGACAGTCACCCAACGAAAACGACGGCTAGAGAAGGAAAAGAAAAAAAGACTAGTTATAAGCTTAAATAGGAATCGGAAGTTTGTAAATCGGCAAACGATATAGCTTTCATTTCAAGTACCAATTTTATCAAATATATTTATGAATAACATATCTTTGTACTATATTTGAGAAACATTGCGATTAAATAGATTGATATATTTATAGTTAGTAGGCCATACATGCAATCTAATACATAATTATATGCAAAAAAACTCAAATAAACCTTAGATTTCCCACATGCCTCTGTCTTAATCTGATATAGATGCTTGAAATAGATTTAACATGCACACACATTAAAACTAAAAAGTATAAAATAATTTACAAATAAAAAACTTTTTTAAACAAAACGTTTTTAAACGCCCTAAAAAGTAGAAAATAATTTACAAACAATTTATAAATATGTTGAGAGAGTATAAATACTTGTACGATTTAAAACGAAAAACGTTGGGTGCATGCAATTAATTGATAATAATACATTAGTTCAGTAGGTGAAGGTAATTGTAAACTATCTATTGCATGCACCCCACGTTTTTCGTTTTAAGTCGTACAAGTATTTATACTCTCTCAACATATTTATAAATTGTTTGTAAATTATTTTCTACTTTTTAGGGCGTTTAAAAACGTTTTGTTTAAAAAAGTTTTTTATTTGTAAATTATTTTTTAAGTCAAGCAACCGACGTCAACATTCTAGACTAGCTTTTGCTGTAATGCCATTTGCTTAAACGTAACAGCTGTAAACATTCAGGGGTCCCTAGTAACGAAATCTATATAATTAATACGCTACATGAAACTTTGTCGGTTGAACTCCTCCGCTATTTCTTAACCGATTTTATCCATTGACGTCTCATTGGAAAGAGCGTGTCACGTAGATTTGCAAACTGGCCTTACATTTTTGAAAGAGACCCTTGGGCTCTGCCCCAGTGGCTTTGAAAGATCCCATGTTATCCTTATGAAGAACATAATTGTTTACATTTTGATCAGCTGTATAATTTAATTGCTGTTATTTATTTTTCAATTCAATGAAACGCATTGAGTACATTTATTTACTATTTGAGTTTGTGTAAACATAACCCCCAAGACGGATCGTATTAGTATGGTTGTTGTATCTTAAATTTGTGTATTTATCGTTGTTTTGTGTCGCTATGACGGATCGAGTTAGCATGATTGTAACTTAATTTTGCATTTATCGTTGTTTTGTATAGCTATGATATGTTTATTTGTTGTATTTCCTTTTAAATCCCTCCGACGCGACGACAACGAAACATAGACAAGAGGCGTAATTGTGATAACGACCGCAGCTACAGAACAGTGGCGCGTAAAGGGCGTTATTATACATCGATGGTAGGCTTAACTCATCACAGTCAGCACCTGACCCCGGACAATCTCAACTATTAAGTTACAAATGGGCCCTAACACTACCCCAAAACGACTTTTCGTTCTCAATTGGCCCTCTATCAATGACCTGTATTGCCTGTACAACGAGGCACTTTGAGAAGGAGAAAATCGGCCGGAATTCTTTAGGTTTATCAACAACAAAGATAAATATGATCTGAGTTACACACTGGTAATCTTTGAGTTGACTCTTTTAAACTCATTGTAAATATGACTGTTATTCGTTTTGAAATAACTCCTGTAATACTTTGCAATTGCTCGAATTCGAGCAACATGTACACTAGTATAATATTAATCTGTGTGTTATAATTTTAGGGCAGGGTGTCAAAGAGCACATGAAGAACAGGAAGATGAGGATCATGAAGCCGCCGACGCTTGAATGATGTGTAAATAATGTATTGTCAGGGTGTCTACGAACCGGGAAATCCGGGAATGAACTTATTTTTTTACTGAAATGTACTGTTTTTAGTAAATATGGGTAGTTTTTAGTGGTAATTGTCCTTAAATAGTTGTGTGGGCCATTTTAAGTATGACATAAAAATTTGTTAGAAGAACATAAAAGGTTTTTTATCAAATGTTTGCTTACATTTTCATCATTTATTACTATAGAGTAATTATGCAATAGAAACCACATTAGCAGTCTCAAAGCCATAAATATTTTATCTCGACAATCACATCAAGTCAAGTACTTCAAAAAACTTATGACCCAGTAGCAAAGCTCATAAAAGTTGTATCACTGTCATTCCTTGGCAACTAATTTATTTATTACTAGGGTTATTATCATTAGATCCCAAACCTATTTGATCATGGAAATAATAGTTTTATATTAGCTGTTAAATTTAACTTCTTACTTGTACTTTCATCTTGAAGATTCAATTTGCCGTTGGCCGTTGCCTACTCCTTTAAAAACTGTTTACGGTTTCATATTAAACTTCGAATTAATATACAGTGTTATTTTATAAGTTAAATCCTTTTTTATGGACATTTTATCTTTCAATTGACAAAACCACGAGCATTGTTGTTTGCATTAATTTTTTATCATCACACAGGCCTACTTGGTCTCAAAAAATCATGTCCTTGCATTTCATGTATCTTTGTCTTATATTGTTGGCTGTTTGGGTTTAAATATTTTTTTGTTCCCCATATTAAGCAATCTAAATCTTATAAACTAGAATGATGATAATTTGCTGCTATTATAACCTTATTGTTTGTTACTTAGTTTATATAAGCCCTCCTAAATAATTAGGTCTAGGCCTGGGCAAACTAATGATTGCTATATATCAATGTTAACTTTGCAATTGGAAAGATAATAATTTATTCTGTGCTTACTGGTAGAGAACTTAAAGTTTGTCCATGAATATTTTATTTTTATATCCATGCATCCATTTCTACTTTTTTTAATCCAGAATGTAGTAGACTGTGTTTTTATTATTTATCTACTTTTTGAATTTTTGTTTACTTCAAATAGAAGAATTTCAGTATACTTATTTGTTTTTATTTATTCACCATTGTTTTTGATAGTAAACTAATCAATTAATGTTATATTTAATTAGTTGCTATAGGCGTACTTATTATTTATGAACTCAAATAGAAATTAACCCTAACAAAGTTCCAAATTTGTCTATTTTAAAACAATTTCCAAACAACTTCAAAATTGTTATACAACAACTTTAAAATTGTTATACAACAATTTTAAAACAATTTCAAAATTGTTTTAAAACAACTTCAAAAATATTTTATAACAATTTTAAAATTGTTGTACAACAATTTTGAAATTGTTGTACAACAATTTTAAACTTATTTTAATATAGACAAAATTCCAAATTTGTCAATTTTAAAACAATTTTAAAACAATTTCGAAACAATTTTCAAACAATTTTGAAACAATTTATTTTCTTTTCCAACAATTTTTATGCTGACTGGGAAGTTGATTAATGAACAAGTACATTTTGATTCCAGTTGTACTTATAAAAATGTATTGGCCGGTGCTTCCGGTAGCTAATAGGGTATAAGTAGGGACGCCATTCAAGATTCTTGTCATTCGCCTATTGGTGCTGATGATGATTGGAGCGTCCAATCGAAATCGATCACCACTTACCATCTTTTTTTGTATATTTACCGTCTTGTGAGTAACAGTATAAGCGTAAATATATGTTTTCAGTGTTATAAGACGTTTCTTTTATTTACTTTCCGATTATTAATTGTGACTTAGAAACCTAGTTTTTTATTACCTCTTTCAAATATTCAATGACAAATGAAAAACAAAAACTATGAATCATTAAAATACAGTTGCAACTAATAAATATATTTAATATTTTTGTGGATTTAATATCCTCTAGAACCCCCTAATTAGGTCACTAATAAATGTCGCTCTGAGGACTCATATGAATCTCATAACGTTTGTAACCATGTGATGATTTTATAAAAACCTATTTTTATCACGATAATCTAATAGCTAATAATACTATGTCGATTCTACATAGTAAAAAATGTATATACTGTGGTACGTCTAAAGTATGACGATGTATCTCTCAGCTAGTCTAGTTTTGATGAAATGTAAACTGATGTCAGGGAGTGGCAGCTATTGGACCTCACTTCACCTGATTTACAGAACCAATTTAATGAAGTTGCTTCAATATATTGTCCTTGTAGTGAAGACAACATCAAACTACCATATACACACTTCACCTTAGTCCTTGTTCATTAACCAATTCGGGGGTTATATACTGCTTATAAAAATGGAAAGATACATAATTTTACTCATGAAACCTAACCTCGTTTTAAATCTCTATACATTGTAATGATTTAAATGTAGCCTAGATAAACATTTTAAACCGTACCCAAAAATTTCCCTTCCTCGTATTACTTTATTATATTATATGTTTAGGACTCATACATTGAATTTATAGAGCGTTGATTTGGTTTTAGTTCGTCCTATGAGTCCATTTTCTTAATAGTGTAACTAGTGTTTTACAAAAACCTCTTATTTTAAGTGTGCTTGTTTTACGAAAATAAAAATATATATTTTTCGTTTGACTACAAGGTTTTGTTTGGGCTAAAGTACCTAGAACAGCTATTAAAAAGTTTTAGTAATTTCGTAATTTGTAATTGATAAATTAAACATTTTTACACAATGTATTTGCAATATTTTTACAATGAAAACTTTATAAAAAACATATCAAAACATAAAAAGTACGTGACTGTCCCTCCTTAGTTAGTATTTTAATAAATTGAATTCCCGATATGTTATGTGTTGGCGCAATAAAATGCAGTGTTACTTTATTGATTTTTTATATACACTGCATGCCTAGGATATTGGGAGTACCAGGGTTAATCCAATTGCCTTACAATGGCTAAACTGTAAATTTACAATTTCCTTCTCCTGAAATGTGACATAATATTATAAAAGAGTTGGTACTTGTCAACTATTGTGCACAGTATATATAAACAAGTTAAGTTAAAATTTTCATAACCAATAATTTCATTTTAATTAGTAACGATAAGCGTTGTAAAGTGAATTAAAACATATTTAAATCTTAATTTATCTTTTATCTTCCTACTGTTTTAAGTTGGAAACCTAAAATAGGCATAATTTAATCTCCATTATCGTGTAGTTTGACAGATAAATTTCTAAGAACTTGACCGGACACCTTGTATATCATTTTTACAAATGCAATACCAATTATCACTTTCGTTCATACATTTAACAAGATTTCAACAAAATACATGCTAAGCTAAAATGTCAACAACAAAAGAACGTTGCAATAGGTCGACAATGAATAACCTCACAAGCTGCTCCTATTGGACTGAACCCAACGGAAGGAAATGTGACGACGAACTTTTAACAAAAGACTTGACGGGTTTCATTGTTATGCCGGAAAATTTTAAATCTCAGTTTCAGAATAAACATAAGCTTATTGCAATCGATAAGGAATTAATATGAAGTATGGTCATATATATGTAGCCGTAAAGCAATTTATAGTAAAATTGAAACAGAATGAGGTTATAAAAGGGTAATCGGTTCATCAAAGTCCGTCTATAAACATTTGTAAACGATAACAGCACATCAAACTGAGCTCAATATAGCTTCACTCGAATGGCTGATGCTCCATGTATTACGATCATATCGGAAACTGGTCGTTAAAATGAAAATCGATTTCCCTTTTGTCTCCTTAAATCTGTGACATTCGTACAAAACGTCATATATACCATCTTCACCTGCTTTATGTAGAATTATTGTATATGATAATGCTTACTGAGACTTACACAATCTATATAATTAATACGCTACACGAAACTTTGTCGGTTGAACTCCTCCGCTATTTTTTAGCCGATTATATCCTTTGACGTCTCATTAGAAAGAGCGTGTCGCGTAGATTTGCAAACTGACCTTACATTTTTGAAAAAGTCCCTTGGGCTCTGCCCCAGTGGCTGTTAAATATCCCATGTTATCCTTATGAATAACATAATTGTTTACATTTTGATCAGCTGTATAAGTTATCTGCTGTTATTTATTTTTCAATTCAAAGACATTAAAACTCATCAGAAATTAAGATGACTTTTCTTTGTTTTTAAATAACTACTTTACTTCTTTGCAATTGCTCGATTTCGAGCAACGTGTTTACTAGTATTTATTATTAAACATGTTCCTAGGTTCAATACATACTAATTTTTTTTAATACCTGCATAAGCATTTCCCATAAAAAAAAAACTTGAGAAATCCTACATTTTACATATCGTTCTGTATATTGTATATCTTCAAAGAAGATTGAACAGTAAAAAAAAGGGAAACTGAAGTAAAATACTATCTGGAAAATGTTTTGCGAAATAAAGCTGCGAAAGATCAACAAAATCTTCAAGAGGAATACTGCAAAGATAATTTAAAAAAATACTACGACTTTAATGGTTAATAGATAAACAACCATGCTGTAAGGACCCATAAACATGTTATAAGAGTTCGATTTTATTAAGATATTAGTTTACAATTTTCATGATTAATAAAGGTAAGGTTATAGTGGTTTTTCATATTAGCTTTAGGATCTTGGCAACTCAATTAATGTCTTCATACAGTATAATGTACACTTGTATAGTTCGACAAAACGTTAAACCTTTAGCAAATATTTATCATTTTGTCATGATTTCTACTTGCCAACACTGTTCAAAAATTTAAAAAAAAGCGATAAAAACTATTTTTGTCCAATCAAAAGACAGTTTTTAGAATGCTTCATTGTGTAATCCAACTTTATTGCATTATATTTTTTCATCCAAGCTCTAGACAGATAAACTCTGGTGATGCACGAATAGTGGTAAATAAATACTGTATAAACATTGTTTTGACGGTGATAAATTATCAAACTTATAAACACGCGATGGAAGGTGAAGCACAGCAAATCATGCAAGACGAAAATGTCGTTAAAAACATAGTAAACACCCAATTCGCCATTTTGTGTTAAAGCCTTGAGATTTTTAATTTATGAACAGGGAAAATCCGAGAACTAATAATTATTTACAAACTTATCCGTTTTTAATTCAGTTTTTCTTGACAGCTGAAAATAATCATATTTGCAGCTATCCCGAAAACTGTAGATAATTAACTAAAATTCTACCCTTTTTAGATTCAGTTTTACTCGTCAGCTAATATGAAAAAGTTCTGTGTGTTGAAAAAACTACAGAACTAACCTAATGGGATTTTTAGAAGCTGTAATAAGTCAACTCTATTTCGATAAAAACCACTAAGTGATAACATAATATAACACCCTTGTTCATTTTGCTACGTTGATTTATATAACACCGCAGTGTTAAGGAAATTTAAGCTGTCTTAAAATTAATGTGTTGATTCTAGAAGTACAAAATTATATTCAGACCTACGTGTAAAAATTCCTTTTCAGTTTTACTAACGCTGCTGGTTGAAACATCATTACTGCAAGACATGAATGTATCGTCTGTTCTTACACATGAATAGGTTACACAGTCAGTGAAACCAGGTCACCGATTTGACAAAATCATTATACGGATACAATACACAGCTTCACATTAATTAGATTCTCCGATATGAAAATGGAAAGGACACGCCTATTTACACCTATGTTAGGTTATATACATCGATGAAAGG